ACTGCAGAGAACAGCTGCTGCTAAGCATCAGGGAAGGCATATGATGGTGGTGGTTGACTCATTGCTTAGGGTTACAGAAGCAGTGGTTTGTGGGCCTGACAAGATGTTTCAGGAGGTGTGTTGTCTCCCTGGGTAAAAATCTGTAATGTGACAGAGAGGCTGACAAGATTTCTCAAGCCTACTGACCATTACCCCTTCCTTTTCGTCCATGTGAGAACCAATGGTACAGCAAGACACAGCCTTCAAAATATCTGAAGGAATTATGGGGCTTTGGTTAGGAAGCTGAGGGCCTTTACAGACTGCCAGAAATAGTAAAACTTGAAGCCACTTTAACTGTCTTGGCTCAGGGCTAAGGAATCATGGGAACTGTAGTTTATTGTGGCACCAGAGCTCTCTGACAAAGAAGACTCAATGTCCCGGAAAAAAATACAATTCCCATGATTCCCTGGCACTGAGCCAGGACAGTTAAAGTGGCCTCAAGCTGCACTATTTCTGCAGTCTCTAAAGGCCCTGTGAGAGCTAGATACACAGGTTATCTCATCTCTTCTCCCAGTTGAAGGGCATGGTTCAGGAAGGGAGAGGAAAATAGCCAATGTGAACAACTGGCTCCACAGATGATTCCATCAAGAATGATTTGGATTCTACAAATGATTTGGAGTCTGCAGTTCCATGAGAGGGGACATCTGGCAAGGGATGGGTTGCATTTCACACCAGTTGGCAGAAACATTTTTGCCATGAATCTGAAAAAATTGATCAGGAGGGCTTTATACTGAGTTATGTGGGGGAGGGAGACAGTATTATAGAAGGCAGGAGTACATCAGGGGATGTAGATAATGGTCAAACTATTATAGAGGGAACAAGGCAAATGAGGCAAGGCCCCAACAGTGGGAGGCAAAAATCCTCACACAGATAGCAAGTGGGGAGGACCCATAGTCTTAGATGTCTCTGCATGGGAAATAAACAAGATGAACTTGAACTCTAGCACAACAAAGCAAATAAGATATAATAGGCATCACTGAAACCTGGTGGGATGAGTCTCATGACTGGAATGTAGGAATAGAAGATATAATCTTTTTAAGAGAAATAGGCCAAACAGGAAAGGAGGAGGAATAGCATTATATGTCAGGGATATTTACACCTGTGAAGAGATCCAGGACTTAAATCCTGGAAATCAGGTAGAGAGCATCTGGATAAAAATGAAAGGGGGTGGAAACAACAGGGAAGTTGTTGTGGGAGTCTACTACAGACTTCCAAGTTAGACTGAGGAACTGGATGATGCCTTTCTAGAACAGATGACCACATTCTTAGAAAGGAGAGTAGTGATGAGTGACTTCAACTATCCAATATTTGCTGGAAAGCCTCAAGGTCTAACAAATTTCTTACTTGCCTCAAAGGCAATGCCATTGTCCAAAAGGTGGAGAAGACAACAAGGGGGTCAGCTGTTTTAGATCTGATCCTAACCAAAAGGGATGCCCTGGTTAATGGGGTGCAAGTGGTGGGATCCTTAAGTGGGAATGATCACTTAAGTGGGAAAGAAACTCCTGGAGTTTCTTATACAGTTGAAAGGAGAAGCCAGGCATAGTCAGACACACATTCTAGATTTTTGGAGAGCTGATTTCAATAAACTTAGGGAAACACTGGGAGTGATCCTGTGGTCAGGAATACTAAAGGAGAAGAGAGTTCAGGATGGATCAGAGTTTCTCAAAAGGGAGATACTGAAGGCACAATTTCAATCTGTTCAATGAGGAGGAAAAATGGGAGGTGTCTCAAGAAACCAGGATGGTTTCTTTCTCAGTTGAGAGCTCTCAGCTGAGTTAAATTTTAGATGGGAGATGTATAAGAAATGGGAAAAGGGGAAAATCACAAAAAGCTTTATGTTTTATGCAAAGGCCATTGGCCAAGAGCAATTAAACTAATTGATAGCCCTGTATAAGTATTTGAAGGGGTGTTATATTGAAGATGGAACAAGCTTATTTTCTGTTGCTCCAGAGAATAGGACCTGAAACATTGAATGCAAGCTATTGGATAAGAGATTGCACTTAAACATTAGGAAGAACATCTTGATGGTAAAAGCTGTTTTGACAGTGGAAGACACTGTTGCCTCGGAGAGTGGTGGAGTCTCTTTTTTTGGAGGTTTTCAAACAGAGGCTGCATGGTCATATGTCACAAGAAGGACTTTGACTTAGGCCTTTGCAGACTGCCAGAAATAGTGCATATTAAATTGAGGCACT